GTCCAATCACAACAGGAGTTTTCTTCCATCTTCGGGATTTGCCGGCGCCTCAAGTTTAAACTCGTTCTACGGGCTGGATTTGCTTCCCTCGACCGCACAAACGAAAAACCTCGATAGCCAGGGCAGCAGAATACATGGCAGACTTCAAACCAGTGACAAGCAGCTGTGGATGACTTCCAATATGGAGGTCTCCTCGAGGCCATGCCCCCTTATGAAAATCACGTCCGCGTTTCAAGCCCATCTCAACCGCCATCAAACTATCCACCATACCTTAGGCATACTCGGTGACATGCTTTGCCTGGTGGGCGCCCTCCGCCGTGCCCCAACAAAAGACTTGTATTGAAATTCGTTAATAGCTTTACATCAGGCGGCTAGTTCTTTCTGAACAGGATACTCGCCGTGGCATGACGGAGGAGGGGGGTAATGCGACCATCCCCTGTGGTTTTTTCGAGGATGCCAATGCGACGTACTGCGCAGTCCCGCTCAAATCTTTGCTAGTCTCTGTGGCATCCACTGCACGCGTTTTGACACCAAAAACGTTTCCCTGGCACTTATGGTTTCAGAGAAGCGTTGTTTCTTTTTACGAGCACTGCAAGACGCTCCAAGGCCAGCGAGTACGGCGAGCAGCAAGGGACGATTCTGCAGACCGCCCGCGGAGGGTTGGCACTGCTACATGAACGAAGCCTTACATTAAAAATAAACGTTGAAAACATATAAACTACATGCCATTGTACTCATAGCACAACAAGGAACACGCCTCTTTGTGTTCCACGTAACTGCACTGCATGGTTTCCTATATATGAACATGCCAAGCTGATATACTTTGGTTTTCAAGACAAGTTGACCTTACACTTAGTCTAGTGGGGTAAATTAACAATAGAAGACACATTACCAATCTCGAGATCCCGTTAAAGACAGTTCAATGTTTGTTTGTCTTTGCAATGCCTGCCTTTCTTAGTTTGCAAGCGTCAAGGAATCGCCCACCCCCCTCTTGTTAGTCCGCGATAGGTGAACCGGCGAATCAGGGAAAGCGTTAAAATTATTGGCTGTCATCCCTTTTTATTGAATTCACACATGCTAGCATAAAAATCTTCATCTCAGATAATGGAACCATCAGCTGTTACAGCAGAATGGCGCATTTTGTTACCAACATCCAAACATTGGTAGAAATTTAACCAATAAGTCAAAATTGCCCTCTGCATTCAAGTGGCGTGCAAATCTAAAGTTATCTGCAATATTTACAATGTATAACGCAGGAGTATCGATTCATATTGATTTCTGGGACACTATCCAATTTTCATGTTGGGTTGGGCCCCTTCAATGTTGATTCCCCCCCCCCCCCAGCCAACATTTCTAGCTGGAAAACTAAAAGTATGCGAAAAAAGCGAACTGTAACCGAAAACAACTTTCTCTGGGCTTTAGTTATTGAAGATTACCCAAGGGTTGCAGCCTCCTCCTAATCATGCATAAAAAACAACGCTTACGCTGACAGAAATTGTAATTATGCCACCACTACACAAACTATCTTGATTTCTTCTATGAATGTAGACTGCATGAACGATAGGCTGTCTGCCTTCACAACCTGCACTTAATGTATACAATGGTAATGTCGATGGTTCAGTAAGGATAATTTTTCAATGCAATGTTAGCAAAAATTGCAATGAAATATACCATATTTGCATCCATGCAATGCTGTGCTCACAAGTGTAAAGAAAATATGATATGAATGGGCACTGCAAAAGGAATGATTTTCAGAGCTTTTATGTTACAGCAAGGCGTGATACCATCAGGAAAAAGCCAACATTGTTCTCAGAGACAACTGTGATGTCTTAGTCCAGCGGTTCGGTCAGCTCTATCAGAGAGAGACGCGTAGCGACGCGGCGATCTGTATTAGACCGAGTCCAGTGGCGTCCTGCCCAGAATTATGCGATGCACCCCTAAATGTAGATGTCTCCCAGATTCGTACACTTCTTCACAGTGTCCTAGAATTGCCCAAATTGTTCTGCCCTCCAGAAATGTTTATCATGCATACCTGTTTCTTGTTCCGCATTTTAATCTCGTAGGTTGATGGACGTGATTGATCTTTAGATTTGGAGGTGAGTGGGATGACACTGTCTGTCGGCAAACTGTGCAAACTGCGGTACTGACTTTTTGTTTTGGGGGACCAGGAAGAAGTGTGCACTGAAAAAGCCAGTAAGTCTCCTGTGGACCAAGTAATTGCTTACCTTACCTGCTTTCAACACATGATTGATAACCAGAGTTAGCCACCCTCGGTTTTAGTCCATCAAGTTCTGTCTTAAGACAACTTATAATGCCACAATGCATGCAATAGGCTTATTTGTTTCATATCCTCGATTATTTGTTCCAAATTTCTTGAAGCGGTGCCTCATGGTGCTTTTTAACCAGATTTGTTTCATAGTTGTCATGATTTGCTGACTGGCAAATGACTGTACTGCATATATGCATTATATTTTTAACACTGGGATACTCTAAGCTGCATAGCAATTATAATATGAGATAAATACAGCGCTAAGCATATAGTCAGACCATCCCATTTAAAATGTGAAGCCAGCGTCTCAAACTATGTCATTAAATATGAAGTGACAAGCCTAAGTAGATGCCTTTGCTGCAGCTGAAAAGTCAAGCAGCAAAACTGGTATGGCCATCTAAAAGTTGTGTTACTTTTGGAGAAGAGCTATTGTTTTGTGGAGCATACCCATTGTTGCCTTTGACAGAGGTTAACCACGGCAGTCAGAATAAGTTGTTCAAAGTGATTTAAATTGTTTTCATTTCTGTGTTGTCAACTTTGTCTGACGTCAGCAAGCATACACAAATGCACTGAATAAAAATGCAACTTGAAATCAGCAAAAAAAAAGAGCTTTATCATGTTTGTATCACAAGTGCTGCTGTCAGCAGATAGGTGAGTTGAGATGATGTTCAACATATGGGCTGCTCTAAGTTAGGTTAAGTTGCTTAAGTTCATGGCAAGTGGCAATAGGAATTGTGCAAGAATCAGTAACTCACAACTGCTGCTGTGATACAAATGACTGTACTGCAACAGATTAGACAGGATGATATGAAGTAAGGCCTCTTTAGGCTAGAAATAGTTAGGCTACTCTCATGGAATTAAGCATTGGTATTTTGTAAGGAACAATGACAAAATGCTTGTTTTCCCTGACCCCATCTTATAAGAAGGCAGAGGTATGCCTATTGTGCTTGACTTGGTGATGGGCTGATGTGTAGGAGTCCAAGTTTTTTTTTAAAGTGTTTTATGCTTCTTGAATTTTCTGTTGTTATTTTGTTATTGAATTCCTTTGCTTTGTTTTGTGTTAATGCTGTGGAAGGGAAGTGCAATGTGCAGCATCAAATTATTGGTGTTACTGAATTTGTTATGCTCATTACACTGTCATGAAGTTGGTATGCTTTAATGTATTCTGTCTCACTTTAGTGGGCTCAGATGTTAAAAAGCAAAACTGTTTTGTTAAGTTTATGATATTACGTCCATGTCAACTTGAAATAGATGTCTGTTTGCTGAAGCACCAGTCACTAGCTCATAAGTTCCATCTTTTGTAAATTGAATTTTTCACTCCCGGACGGTCTTTTTGTGTTGAAATTTTTCACTCCCACCCTAGTTCAAAAGCAATTCTAGTTCACTGGCTTCTTCACAAATTTAGAGGGGGGGGGGGAGGGCCGGAGTCTTGAACTGAATAGGAAACTCCGAACATCCCTGATTTGTAAATCTTTGCGACTGGCAACCATTCCCCATCAGGACAAGAGCAAAAATAGAATAAATTGACACCTCAGAACCATTGTCTCCTGTCAGTCCCCTTCATGGGGAGTGCCATCAGACTTGAAAATCGAACCATGGTTCCTTTCAAACGGAAGACGGTTGGTCGC